GTGGGGCTGGTGCGGGATCGGGCAGTGTTTCGTTCTGCTGTGCATGGGGTCGCTATGAGTCGGAAACGACTCGACGGCACTTAACAACAACAACAACTATCAAATAATTAATATTAAAAGACTTCAAGCATCACCTCAAGAACATTTAAATCATCCAAATTAATTCTCCTTCATATTCTTTTTGATATATAAAACTAAGCTCTAAAAATTAAATTTAAGGCACAACATTTTATATCATTATGCCATATGTACTTTAAAATATTGTTTTATTTTCTATTTCTAGCTTAAATGCAGGAGCTCTGGTAGCATAGTGCCTAAGGCACTTGACTGCTAACCAGGAGGCTGGCGGTTCAAACCCACCAGCCACTCCTCGGAAGGAAGGTTAGGCAATCCTACTTCTGTAGTGATAACTGCCTCGGAAACCCAAGGTGGGGTCGCTAGGAGTCGGGGCCGACTCGATGGCAAACAACAACAGCTTAAATGTTAGTATATTAAATGAAAATCATTCACTATAAGCCAATTTCAGAAAAACAAAATTAAACACGTGTTAGTTTTGACTAACGTTTTTCGCTAAAATATGAGTTGAATATATCTGTCTGATAAGAAAAACAGTATGAAATTCTTTGAAAGGATGAGTAAGATGATGAGAAATAGTGAGTGGTTAGAGTTTAATGAAGCAATTTTCTGGATTCTACTAGAACCATTTAAATTGTGAACTAGACTGAAAGTATCATTCAAAAGCAGCTAAAAAACACCGAAGAAGGTTCAAGTGACTGTAGTACTTAAGACGAATAAAGATTGTTGGTATAAGACCCAAAGTTCTGATGCCCCTTGGAGCTTTAATTCCTTGGGAGGGATGAACATTTCACCTAAAGTTTGTCATCAAAGCAGAGCAAAATTATTTAAAGAGACAGAGTTCAGCTCTTTAGATGTCTATAGTATAAATGTTTGATACAAAAAATTCTCCCATGAGCTTTATAAAACTGGTTTTTGGACATTTGGGTTGTAATTCTGTTTATGAAAACTCAATTCTGTTTAATAAAACTTATATTTTATTAATCAATTAGTACTAAGAGTTTATTGGAAGGAAGGTTGGGCAATCTACTTCTGTAGTGACACCACCTCAGATACCCAAGGAGGGGTCACTATGAATTAGGGCCAACTCGATGGCACATAACAAATAAAACAACAAAACTAAGAGCTTGAATTTAAATGTTATATCCCAAGTTTGACCACTAATTCTAAAAAGATTTTCCCATGTATTATAAACTTGGTGCCATTAATTCTTATAAATCTATTATCAGTCTTTATTTTTTACTAATTTTCTAGATTATCATGACAGATATATTACCTGGTCATACTCCAAGGCTCCTGGGTAGAGTGGCCATCCAAGGAATAATTCTGCAATCACACATCCCAATGACCACATGTCTATGGCTTCACAAAATGGTAACCCCAATATAATCTCTGGAGCTCTAGAATTAAAAAAAAAAAAAAAGGATAATTTCCTTTAAAATTTCATGATTTCATCTGATGTTCTAAGAAAGGTTAATAAAATTACACAGAATCAAATTTTATTTATAATAACTCTCCATTTTTTAGAATTTTTTGAAATTAGCTACAATCCTGAATTAAACTGAAAAGAGTCCTATGAGTACTGCATTGCTATGATAAAGTCCTTACACCTTAATCATCATCCCTTATAGAGTTTTATTAACATAACACAAAAATTGTAAAAGGTATAGAAGACAATGAGACTATAAACCAGCTGCATCCAATTAATTTCAACTCATGGTGACCGTGTGTCTATCAAAGTAGAAATGGGCTCCGTAGAGTTTTTGCACATGAGAAAAAGCAAACTGACACAAGAACCAGCAAAATATTGAGACTTCCAGCAAGATGTCAAAATAGTCAGACAAGCTACATAGAGCCTCTTCAACAAAGCAACGAGAAACCAATTGACACAGATACAGAAGATAATCCTGGAGCCCTCAGCTTTGAAAGGAAGGATACAGAAATGGATCAAACAACAAATAGTAGAAGACCCTGAATGAAAACAGTGAGTAAGGAGATAAATGGTGCTGTGGACTGTCAGATCTCCTGGTAGCACAGACAGCCTGAATATTTCCAAGGGGTGGTAAGATCTGAGAATTAACCTAAAAACCAGCCCTCCTCCACTACACAAGTAGCTGATGACTGAAAAGGGAAACAACAAAGAAAGAGACAAACTCAGCTGTGGACTTTCAGCTGTCCAGAGGGTGCAGCCATTTTGAATGTCTACAAGCAGTGGCTGGGTACAGCCATTTTGAATGTTTACAAGTGGTGGCCATTTTGGATATTTATAGTGACAGCATTCTCATTCGGATTCCAGGAACCTAAGAATAGGCTCCACTTGCCAAAGACAGCACAGACATATGGGAGGCCGAAGACTGGAAGGGAGAGGTGGGAAGTGCCTAAGTGCTACCAACTTGTGAACAGAGGAGCAAAGTACCCTGTTTAATCAGATACATCCAAGCATAACAAAGAAAACAAGAATCTTGGGCGAATCACTCCAACATAAAATCACCAATTAAATATAAACAACAACAAAAAAAAATCACTGACCATCACAGTTCACACAAAGAAGCAAGATAAAGCGTGGGAAACAAGGGACCAGAATACAGACCCAGAACACATCCCTGAAGAAGCAGCAGCATTGGAACTCCCTGATAAGGAATTCAAAAGAATTGTATTTAGGTAACTTCAAGATTGAGAGACAGATCAAGGAAAATATTGATGAAATTGGAGAAAACCCTACAACAATTTCTTGACAATTTAAATTGTAAGAAAATACAAAAACAAAATGATGGAATAAATGAAAAAAACAGAAATGTTACAAAATCTACAGATAGAAATCCAGAAGATTAATACTAAATTCTCAAAAAGAGATAACACATTGAACAGGCAAAGGAGTAGAATTGAATCAACGGAAGAGAGAATAGTGAGATTGAAGATGAATACCTCAATAACTCTTCTGAAAAGAGATCAATCAGAAAAAAAAGATCAAAACAAAATTAAGAAATCCTAAGGTTTATGTGGGATACCATCAAAAGGAATAACCTACACGTCATTGGAATTCCAGAACAAGAAGAGACCAATAAAACCACAGAGAAATTGTCAAAGATTTGCTGGAAGAAAATTTCCCTGATAGGATGAAAGATGTGAATATATCCACCATTCAAGAAGTCCAACGAACCCCACACAGGATAGATCCCAAAAGAAAATCACCAAGACATATCATCATCAAACTCACCAAAACCAAAAACAAAGAAAGAATCCTGAAAGCAGCATGGGAAAAGTGAAAAGTTACCTACAAAGGGCAACCAATAAGACTAAGCTTTGATTTCTTGGTAAAAACCATTCAGGCAAGAAGGCAATGGAATGGTATATATAAAAAACCCTGAAAGAAAAAAATTTCCAACCAAGAATTAGATACACAGCAAAACTGTCCCTCAAATATGATGGTGAAATTAGGACATTTCCTGATAAGTAGAAATTAAGGGAAATTGTTAAAATCAGACCAACCTTACAAGAGATGCTAAAGGGAGTCCTTTAGACAGAGAACCAACAATAGCAAACAACAACCAACCATTAAACACACATGATGACATAACCCAGAAACCAACCCAGTTATGGAAGTATCCAAAGTAAATAAACATACAAGATTGTAAACAGAGAACCAGAGACATTGATTGGCAAATGAGGAGCTCTGGTGGCATACTGCCCAAGGCATTTGACTGCTGACCAGAAGGCTGGCAGCTCAAATCCACAAGCCACTCCTCGGATGGAAGGTTGGGCGATCTACTTCCATAGTGATACCACCTCAGAAACCCAAGGAGGGTTGCTATGAGTCACATCCGACTCGATGGCAGTGAGTTTGGTTTTTTTGGTACAAACTAAAAAAGAGGGACAAAAACTGTGTAGTTACAGAACTTCTAAATGGTGAGGAAGTCAAAACAATTCCAAGATAGAACAGACTGCTCTAAACTTGAGAAGAAAATTATAAATCACAGGGTAACCTCGAAGAAAAATGATAACATTCACATCAAAATAAAAAAGAAGATAAGCACAAATATTTAGCAAATACTAAAACAATAGTAATAAAGGAATTGATAACATGATTCATAAACAAAGCAAGCTCAGCACAGAAAATTATATGGAACAAAGAAATCAGTAACACCACACACACACACACACACACACACACAAACCACAACAAAATGACAGCAACTAATTCATACTTGTCAATAATTACACTGAATGTCAATGGACTAAAGGTACCACTCAAGAAATGGAGAGTTGCAGACTGGATAAGAAAATATAACCCATCAACATGCTGTCTACAAGAGAAACACCTTAGAGAAAAAGACATAAAAATAGACTTAAAATCAGAGGTTAGAAAAAGATGCATCAAGCACATGGCAATCACAAAACAGCAGGAGTAGCAATATTGATTTCTGACTTTAAGACAAAAACCACCATAAGAAACAAGGAAGGACATTATATAATGATTAAAGGATCATTTGAACAAGAGGGCATAACCATAATAAATGTCTATGTACCCACTGAAAGAGCCCCAAAATACATAAATCAGACTTATCATAATTGAAAAGACAAATAGATGACTCCACAGTCGTAGTAGAAGACTTTAATACACCACTTTCAATCAAAGATAGAACTGGAAAGAAACTCAACAAAGATGCAGGAGAACTAAACAATACAATCCACCAACTTGACCTTATAGACATCTACAGAGCACTTCACCCAACAACAGCAAAATATACTTTCTTTTCCAGTGCATATGACACATTCTCCATGACAGACCATATGTTAGGCCACAAAGCAAGCCTTAATCAATTTAAAAAAAACTGAAATACTGCAAAGCATCTTCTCAGATCACAATGCTACAAAATTAGAAATCAACAATAAGATCAATGGAAAAAGAGTAAACACATGGAAACTGAATTAACACCCTCCTTTGAAAGACTGGGTAAACGAAGAACTGAAAAATGAAATAAAATATTCCCTGAATCAAATTAGAATGAAAACACAACATACCAAAATCTGTGGGACACAGAAAAATTAGTGATCAGAGGCCATTTTTTTCTTTTAATTGTGCTTTGGGTAGAAATTTATAGAGCAGAATTTGTTTTACATTCAACAGTTTGTGTACATTTGGTTTCAGTCCCCAATTACCATCCCCAACCCTAATCCACTCTCCTGCTTTTCCTTCCCAGTGACCCCCCCATCCCTGTTCCCTTCTTAGTTATGCACTCCAGTCTGTCCAGCTTTTCCTCCATGTGAATGTTACCCTTCTGATGCTCCATGACCAATTGCTCCAAGGAATGTATCTCTGTAAAGTAGGTGGGTACATTACCCTGGGTTGGGTGTTCTGTATGTAAGTCTTACTACTGTTGGGCTGAGGGGCAGCCCTTGGGAGTGAGTTTTATCCCAGGGATCAGAGGCCAATTTGTAGCAATAAATGTATACATCAAAAAAGAATAAAGTGCCAAAATAAACACCTTAACCCAACATCTCTAACAATTAGAAAAAGAGCAGCAAAAAAAGCCTACAGTCACCAGAAGAAAAGAAATAATAAAGATTCAAGCAGAAATAAATGAAACAGAAAAAAATCGGCAACACTAGAAGTTGGTTTTTTTAAAAAAGATTAATAAAATTGACAAGCCACTGGCAAATTTAACAAAGGAAAAGAGGGAGAGAATACAAATAACATGAATAAGAAACAAACTGGGTGACATCACAACAGAACCAAAAGAAATTAAAAGGATAATATCAGGATATGACTCAATGGCAGTGAGTTTGGCTTTTTTTTTTTTTTTTTAACTGAAGAACTATACTCCAACACATTTGAAAATCTACAAGAAATAGACAGATGTCTAGAAACACACTACTTACCTAAACCAACAAAAACTGAGTGGAAATTTTGAACAGACCCATAACAAAAGAAGAAATTGAACAAGTCATAAAAAAATTATCAACAGGAAAAAAAGCCCTGGCCCATATGCTTTCACTGGAGAATTCTACTGAATGTTCAGAGAAGAGCACCAATCCTACTCAAACTATTCCAGAACACTACAAAAGGATGGAATCCTCTCAAATTCATTTTATGAAACAAGCATAACCTTGATACCAAAACCAGGCAAAGACATCACTCAAAAGGAAAACTACAGATCAATATCCCTCATGAATATAGACGTAAAAATCCTCAACAAAATCCTAGCCAACAGCCTCCAACAACATATCAAAAAAAGAATACATTATGACCAAGTGGGCTGCATACCAGGTATGCAAGGATGGTTCAACATTAGAAAAACAATTAACGTCATCCATCACATAAATAAAACAAAAGAAAAGAACCACATGATCATATCAATCGATGCAGAAAGGCATTTGATAAAATCCAACACCCATTCCT